TGGGCAGAGGCACTGGACAGAGGGAGGCCTGGGGCCATGTTGCCAGCCCAAAGGCAATGCCCATTGTTTCGAGTGAGCTGGTGCTCCGAGCACACTGCACCATATGGTGTGACAGCAGCTAGGACTGGCTAGGGAAGCCTTTTCTTCAGGCCATGCAGTGGGGCGAGTCCAGGCAAAGGATGAGAAGGGGGCGGGGCCTGTGGAACAGGACTCACATCAGTGAATGCACCACTCTGCCTCCCAAGCCCAGACCCGGGAATGTCCCAGGACCTCCTTTCTGTCAATCTCCCTGCCCAGGCCTGTGGACTTCCCTCTGTCTCTCTTCTCTCTCTCCCTCATCTGCCCAGATTCAGACCCATCATCACTTACCTGGTCTCCTCAGTTCTCCCAATCGACCTTCCACAAACCCAGTCATGCTACCTCCCTGTTTGATCCCTCAGTGCTCCCCTCTGCCCTGAGGGTCAGGTTCAGGCTACTTAGGCATGCATGAAGTTGGCCATACCCAGTCTCTCAGCTCCTCCTCAACCTCATCCTCTGTCCTTCCCTTGCTCCCACACGCAAGCTATGAAGACCTACTTACGCTCTCCCAGATGCTCCATTAAAGCTTCACCCCAGCCCTTTGCTCCCCCTGGTCCCTCTGTCTAGAATGCCTTCTCCCCTCTCTTCCCTTCCCCCTCATGTTTGGCCTGATGACCCATGGTCTGTATTGCGTTCTTTCTTTTGAACACAAAAACTCAGTTGAGGTGGTGCAGACACTAGACTGATCCATAAAGAGCAGAGGGTGTGAGTGGCGCATGAGAGGGTTGTGGGCTGGGTCGGATTCTCAGGGGGCTCAGATCTCCTGAGTGTGGAATGGGACCTGCATCCAGACCAGCCTTGCGGTGGGTATGCAGCCCTGATGGGAGGGCCCGAAGAATCTCACTCAAGAGACACATGAACCCGGGCCACGGAGAAGCAGGCGCTGAGAAGGCATCCATGAGGCCGAGCAAAGGCAGCCCTTGGGCAGGAGTGGGTGAGAGACAGATGCCCGCTCCACTCCCACCCTCCGTGGCTGCCCTCTTTCCAACATTACTCAGAGGGTCAACTCCTTGGGGTCAGGGCCATGTCTCGGTTCTTCTTTGTCCCACACAAGGCCAAGCACAGAGCACACTGGGATAATTATTTGCTCAGAGGATAATAGGATGAATGGCTGTTGAGTTAACCAACGCCACAGCAAGGAACTTGCCTCTCCTCTCACTTAGCTTTGTTTTGGTTTATGTTAGTTCTGTTTGTCGAAGCTGGGAGGGGATGGGGCCCTGGTTTCCGATGATCTCCCTGAGTGTTTGCCTGAATCACCTTGCTTCCTTAGGGGTTCGGAGTAGGGAGGGGTTACCCAACCAAATACTTGTTTCCAGCTCCTCTGAAGTTTCCTGTGTAGTCCTCTCCCTCTCTCCCTTCCCTCCTCCCAGTCCCCAGCTCTGTTCTTGCTTTGCCTGAGTGAGGACCTGTTAGCCAAGAGCAGGTGCAGGAAGTGCCCCAGCCTGCAGCGCCCTCTGGGGGCTGTTTGATGAGGCCAGGCAGGCTCCTACCAAGACCCTAATAGCCCATTTTCACCCACCCAATCTGGCCAATCTGCCTTCTTGACCTTCCCTGCTCTTGGGGCCCCATTCTCGCAGCTTCCACCTCCTAGGAAGACCCCTGATTTATAAACTGGCTTAGGGTTCCATTCCTTTAAGCTGAACTTGAGGCATGTTGGCTCTAGCACCCTGGAGGTAGGAGCTGAGCTCATGTCTGCAGGGAATGAGTCAAAACAATGGAAGATGATTCGGGAAGGAAATGGACCCTGGAGCTAAATTCTCTGCTAATGTATTTGAAAAAGGGAATAGAGTGAGAAAGAGAAGTGGCCAAGGGAAACGATGCCCATGAACCCAGCTTGACTATGGACTCTCCTGCTGAGTAGCTAAGTCAAGATAGCCATGAAGATAGAGGAAATGATGAAGTTTTACCACAATTTGGAACACAAAGACTGAGTAAAATCAGGAGGAAATAATAGTAACTCATCTTGACTCAATTCTGGTCATTTTTTTCACAAAACAGGCCGAGAGCTGCATCTATCCTGGATGCAGACCACCCTCGGGTGCTGGTCTGGGAGCTGAGCAGAGACGCTGCTCCCGGAGCCACGCACTCACTCATTCCCTCCTCCACCCCCGATGGAGCATCTACCACACGGGTGGTCCCTGAGAGCCGCCTGCTCCGGGTGCTTTGGATGCAGAGGTGAGAAACAGACACTTCTGCCTTACTTACAGTCCAATGGTGGTGGTGGGATGGGGGGGTACAGGGAGGGGAAGCGGGGAAACCATGAAAAACCAGGTGAGTACACAGGTTGCATATTTTTGGTTGCCATGGCAGATGAACCAGCAGGAACGGTGGTGGGTGGGGTGGTGGTTTGAAGATAGAGAAGGCAAATTGCAGAAACAAATCAAAGCTGTGTGGCTGGTGGCCCAGAGGTGCCTCCTGGTTGGTGCAGTCCCGGGAACAAGGATTGTAACCAGCAGTGGGGTAAGAATGGCTTAAAGGCCGCTTCTTCTCACGTAACCACATTATAAATGCCTTTCTGAATTGAGTCCGTTCATTCTTGATTGTGGCTAACAGGCCCCACCCCTCTGACCACAGGGACCTCATAGGACCCAAGAGGCTCTTCATTCAGAAAGCCTGATCGAGCTCCTGCTCTGTGCCAAGCATCGCTCCAGGGGATAAAGTGGTACGCAGGTGAAGTCCTGGCCTTCATGGAGCTCGTATTCTCAGGGGGGAGACAGATAGTAAGTGGTAATGAGGTCAACATGTGGGTGGGCACAGAACGTTGGACGTCATTCAGTGAAGCCAGAAGGGGATCCTTGAGCAGAGATGGGGCAGGGACTCCAGGCAGAGGGGAGAGGAGGCGCCAGTGCTCCCAGTGGGGTTGCTCCCAGCATCCGAGGAAAAGAGAGGAGTGTGGGCAGGACGTGGGGTGGGGGCAAGAGCGTAGTTCCAAGATGGGCAGGGAGCAGGCCAGGTCGTGTGAGGCCTCGTGGGCACTCAAGGACTTTGCATGGTATTCATGGTAAGAAAGGAGGCCCCTGGCGGGTACAGAACAGGGGCATGTCCTGGTCTGCCTAGTGCCCTGGCTGCTGCTGTGTGGGCAGAAGTGAGAGAAAGGATAAATTAGGAGACCTGTAGGCACACGGGACATGGGGGTTAAGGTTAGCCGGTGGCAGTGGTCAGACGGGGGCTCATCCTGGTGGCCCCAACGGAGCGCAGAGTGAGCAGGACCCAGGACGGGCCCAGCAGAACGCAGGCCTGGGGCGGTCAGGCGCTGCCAGATGCCGTGCATCTCAGATGGGCTGTGATGTGCACACCGAGGTCCAGCAGCCGAGTGATGGAACCTGACTTAGGACCTGAGTGTCAATGGTTCTTCAATCCAGAATGTCGCTTTACATATTACATTTGGTTAGAAAATTGTGGACAAAAGGTGCTAGAAATTACATTCTGTCCAGCATGACGTCCATTATGTTTCAGTTTCCAACAAAGCAGCGAGGACCTTGTTCCTGCTTAACATCTATTCTAGACAGATTAGTATATAACTTATGTTAAAAGTTTGACTGCTGCTGAGTAAAGACCAAAGGCAGCGAGCCAAACATCCAAGCTGATTGTTAGACCCTGTTTGGTTCCCAATTGCTTTTTATGTGGTTGCCTGGTTGGCCAACACCATCGATCCAACTAGGCAGGTGAAGAAAATGTGCCGCTTACAGACGAGGAACTTTGTGGGGAATCACGAACTGGCCTCTGACTCCGGAAGAAGGACCCAGGCGGCGGCCTGACCCAGCCCTGGAGGCTGACGGTGTTCTCGTGGGCGGTGGGAGTGTCATTAGGAAGGTCAAATGGGCGTTTTCCAAAGGCCTTTCTGCCCTGAGCTACCCCTGCAGGCAGTTACAAGCACCCCAGCACCCGGAGCGTGTTGGGAGTGGGTGCGAGGGGAGGTGGGTAGAAGACTCCCTCCTGCTCAACTCAGAGGAGTGTTTCCTATGATGCCACCAGTCAGCAAGCAGAGAAAACTGTGCTCTGCTCCTGGCGCTGCCACCAGGCACTGAAAGGCTGGGTCCCGACTGTTTTTGTAGCAAAGCAAACAGGAAGTGAGATGCTGGGCAGGATGGACTGTAGAGGAAAGACTAAGCCAGGGCTGGGAGCTGTCCCACAGGCAAAGGGTTCTGGTTACCAGGTTAGGGAAACGCCAGGTAGGCAAACTCAGCTTTTTATTTTTAACCTTGAGTCTTTCCAAGGCCTTACTATGCACCTGCCTAGGGACTCCCCGGGAGGCTGTAGCAGGCACCACCTCCCAGAGATGCTTGATGAAAGAGCCCTTGGGGGACACCCGCTTCACCCTCACGGGACGCGCTGACAGGCGTGGAGTCCTTATGACGGAGCAACTGTCCTTGCTGGGGCCGCTGGGGTCATGGGAGTGTGAATTCCACATTCCACCCTGAGACACGCGGGACGGGGTTTGGGAGGGGCCAGCGCGACTTCCGAGAGGTGTGAGAAGCAGCAAGAAGTCAGCAAAGTGGCTTCACATCAAAGTTTCTTGGAGAGAAAATCTGACAGTATGTTGGGTCTGAGTAAGAAACTTGGTCTTCATGTTGGGCGGGCGGCATGCATGCCTCTGGTACTTTCTGAGCAGGATGGATCGCAGACTCCAAGGAAGATCCCTTTGGTGATGGTTTTGAAGGAAGGAGAAGGGTGAGATGAGATGAGTCAGAGCAGGTGGGGTGGGGGCAGGCGGCCGTGGCTCTTCGCTTTGGGTGCACAGGGACCGCCATTCCAGGAGGCTCACTCCGTCACCTGCCAGTGGAACTGCCTGCCTGCCTGCCTCCTAGCCCCGCGCTGGCTCAGGCAGCGAGTCCAATGTCACCAGCGCCGGCAGGAACGGTCCGAACGAACGCAGGGCAGACGATTAAATAAAGTGACACCACACACTCCATTCTCATTATGCTCCTTTACTGCAGCAGAGAAAGAGAACCGAAGCATTTTACAAGTGTCAGGGCAGCGACAAGTTGTGCATGTTCTTTCCAGAGACTCCTGTGCCACGTCCCCACAGTAAATAACCTGGACACAGCAAAGAGGTAATATTCCAGAGAAGGAGAAACAGGGATCGGATGCTCTCTGCAGTCGCTTTAGAAATTTTTGAGAGATCAGGCATACTGCACCGACTGCTTAAATGTCGTTCAAACCCTCCAAATGAATTCCTGCGGGGAGACTGAGTAATCAAAACATTCTGTTAAGCTTCAAGACCTTCAGGCAAGTGGGACTGGACAGTGGATAAGGGGGCGTACGTGAAAGGTCGATGGAACGATAGGCGAACCGAGTCACACCGGGCTACCGGGAAGCTCACACGGCTCCCGAGCCGCACCAGGAGTCCAACTTGGGCTCTGGCTCTTGGAGCCACCAGATGTGTGGAGGCTAATTTCTGAATTCAGAAGAGAGGCCAGGATGGAAATGGGTTTCTCACTGAAGGGACAAAAACATGAGTTATGTGCCTGGGTAGTCCCGCTCACCTTTTTCTGGTTTCCCCTTCTCAGACGGGCTTGGACGAGCCATGCAGCAAAGCAGGGCTGAACCCCTGCACAGGACTAAAGCGGGCAGTGATGGAGCTGAGCCGGAGGGGCTTCTGCCCGTCCAGAGAGCAATGCTCCCGACTCCTCCTGTATTTTACCGTGAACTATAAGATGCCTTTGATTCCCTGGAGTTTTTGAAATGCTGAAGTGTGTAGCAGGCAGGCAGGGACTGGCAGTCCCATCTGGGGTTCCCTAGGCAACCGTTTGGAATTCTTCTTCTGAATGGCATGCGACTGCCCATCCTTGATATTCTATCATTGCTGGAGGGAATATGAGGTTGAGGACTTGGACAGGTTAGAGAGAGCTGGAACCGGGGGCCCTGGCCCATTCACAGGGAAGGGGGTTCTGCAGCCAGCAGTGTGCATGTCCTCTGACATGGTCCTCGAGGGACCTGACGCCGAAGAACGACAGATTTCAGAGTGTGAGTGCTCACCCTGAACGGCCCAGCAGGCAGGCGGGCTGTGTGGGGTGGGGGCAGGCAGGGGGAGGCGCACTTGTCCATCTACATGAGGAAGAAGAAAACCAATAGGGGTGGCGTTGGAGAAGACATATGTAAAGACCTTCAAAGAGAAAAACGTTCTCTCTTTGTGTTAATCTACTGAGCTATAACCCATTTCGTATTTGGGGAGTATTTTGTGTATCATCATTAAAAAAATCTATTGCATGATCATTAACCACCAAATCATTTTACAACCTTGCCCTAAACTCTTGTAATTCTCCCGCTCCAGAATTACCAAAATATTTTTGCCTAACCGCAAAGGGAAAAAGTTGTGCGTCCCTTGGTATGTTTTTGTTTTTTCCCAGATACCATTGTGATTTCAACCCTGAGGTTCTCCCCTGTCATTCTGCCCACCCTGTGGCTGCTTACAGGTGAGCATGAGCAGCAGGAGCAAGGGCAGGTGCCAGAGGCTGCAGAAGAACAGTCTCCTGGAACTCTTCCGGTCCGCATCCATGTAGAACCGGAAGCCGAGGTAGGAAATATACAGGTTGATGGGCAGCGAGATGGCGGGGAAGGTCCACGTGGTAACATCCAGGAGGGGGGCTGCCATGCACAGTCCGATCAGGGCCAGGCAGTGGCGCAGGGCGACGCGCCGGCACAAGGCCGGGTGGGTGACGGACATCATGCAGTAGCCCCCTCGGGAGTAGTCCTCTCGGAGGCCCCAGCTGAGTGCGTTGAAATGAGGAAACTGCCAGGAGTACAGGATTCCTCCCAAGAGGCAAGCTCCTGAGTGAGGGGAGAGAAAGGGAAGCAATGACGTGTCATTAGAGACATGACAAAGGCCTCTCGCTTTGCTCACGGGCATCCTCCCCGGCCCCCGGGCACTCCGCCCCGATTTCACGCATCTCACACTCTCCCCCAGCTTTGCTCTCAGCTCTGCTTGCCCAAGGCAGCCTCCCACTGGAGACAAGCAGGGTGGGGAGCTGAACGCCCTCCACGAGCCCCCACCCCGCGGGGGCTCTCCGCCTCAGCGGGGCGACGCCTGCACTGGGCGCGCCTGGCGTCCCGGGTGGGCTGCCCCACGGCAGGGCTGTGAGCGCCTGTGGCTCCTGCCCAGCACCGTGACAACATAAGAGGCCCCTAAAGGCTTGCACTCATGTTTAGGGCGGGGACCTCTGCTGGGCTGTCAGTTCTGTGCCCACACACTGCGCCTTCCCAGGGAGGTGCTTCAGCAGGTGGAAAGACGCTCCAAGCCCACCTGGCCTCCTCCCCACGGTCCTGCTCCAGGGCAGTTGGCAGCTCCCCACTCAGCACTGACTGAAAAGGGACATAGCTCCAGGCCCGCCCAGGGACACCCTGGTTTTTGTCTGTGTGCCTACCAACTATTCCGCCAGGGACTGCTGAGCCCCAGGGCAGGTGCCTGGGACAGGCTCTCCAATTCCCCAGAGCCTGCACAACGGGCAAGCAGGGGGTACTACAACAGGCGCGGGAAGTGATTGGACTGGCATAAAGGAACTGGGTTCTAGGGTAGAACAATAACCTTCTGTAGCTGTGCAGTTTTTCAACAAGGGCGTATTAGTACCCTGAGTACCATTAGGCCCTTTCCTCTAGGGCAGGGCCTCCCACACCTGCACAGGTGTAGTGAAGCCTGCCACTGATGAAGCACTGTTATGTGAGAGACTTTACAGTTGACCTCATTTAATCCTGACCATAGGATTTTAGGTAAGTTTCATGCTCATTAAACAAACAAACACACAAGCAGATCAGGTGATGATATGTTCTCTGAAGCTGAAGGAGGAATTCCAGACGAGCCCGTCTCATATAAAAAATGGGCTCCGCCACACGAGGCTACCTCCTTCTGTGTCAGGTGTCAGGGGCTCCAGTCCTTTCTGAGTAAGAGGTTTATTGCTCATGCACAGCTGCTGGGCGCCCACTAAGCACAAGCGCTGGGCTTGGCACTGGGGATAAAATGTGTGTGTGCAGCTGAGTGTGCCCGAGGCACTGAGCGCCCGCCACCCGTGCAGAGCCGCACTGGTGGCTGCACGTCAGCACGCCGGTGCTGTGCAGGAGGGCGTGCTACGCCCGCCTGCAGCCCGAGGTCGGGGCAAGTGTGGGGACCGCTCCGGGGAAGGGGCCCCTGAGCTGGGCAGCAGGGGGAAGAGAGCTAGTCGGGGAACAGCAAAAGGAAAAAAGGTCAGTTTTACTGTGCGGTAATTTACAAAACAAAATCAAAAAGGAAGGCCAGTGTGGCTGGAGGGGAAGGGGGCGGCACCCTGACTTCAAGGCCCTGCTAAGGCCCAGCACTCCCTTCAAAGCAGCAGAGCGTCACAAAGGACCTTGCTGTGTAAGAGCGTGGGAGCGTGTGCACGGGCGCCAGGCGTGGGGCGCTGGTGAAAGAACACACCTGAGGGGCCCAGAGCAGGTAAGAAGGACCTGTCAGGAGACAGGAGATGAATGTGGTGGAGTGGATGTGGACAGAGTGTGGACGGGCGCGGGACTCAGGAGGCGGCAGCATCAGGCTGCGCACAGAGATCAGGAGCTGGAGAGGGAGCCTCAAGGGCAACCCCGGGGTTGGGGACCCCTGGAAACGCAGCTCACTGGGAGGGAGGACACCGGGGACGGGGGAGGGCGGCCCTCGAAGGGGCCTTGGGTGTGCTCGGAGGGAAGGCCTCTGGGGAGAGCAGCACCTGCGGCCGGGGGCGGGCCCGGCTACCACGTGTGCCCGGAGCCACAGCTGTGCTGAGTGGATGGTGCTGTCCCGTCGTGCACTACTCGGTCCATGTCTCCTGATTGTGAACAACTCCTTAGGCCCATGTTCCTTCTCCTTTGTCTCTGAGGAGGTGGAGGACAGGAAGCGCTCAGTGCGACTGCAGCAGAGGGCCCACGACTCCTCTGTGGAAACCCACGTGTAAAAGAAGCTGCTTTCGTACCAATGGCCACCGGGCCACTGCTTCCAGCACTGGTGTGTGCGACCGCGGACTGCCAACCATCCGGACTTGGTCCACTCCCCACCTCCTCCCTCCTCAGAGGGTCTCGGGTGTTCTGACTGCGATCCTTGTTTCTGATGTTGAACTGTCTCCTGGGGGGTCCCTGATCAGAGAACTGACAGCTAATGACCACGGTGCCACCTGCCCAGGGAAGTGCCGTCCCGCACAGGCATGCTGGGAACTTGTAACCACAGTCCTACTTCAGGTAAGGGGGCTCCTTGAAGCCCTGTGTCTGCGGGACTGTTCAGAGAAAGGCTGGGGCCATGGCTCCCACGGAACTCCCCAGACAGAGAGCGGTTTACAGGAATGACTGTTCAGAATCACCCAGAAGAAGAATCCAGGCTCTGCAGCTCCTGCTGTGCAGGAGCCAATAAGGGTGACAAATGAGCCCTCTTTTAATCTCCTCTGTCCTCCTCGACAGAGCGAGCTGCAGAGGGACAACAGGGGAAGGCTTCGAGGTCATGGAAAAGGAAGAACAGTGATTTTCATTCATACCTCCTGGGCAGGGCCATAGCCATTTCTGAAGGGAGTGTACCAGGCAGGTGCGGCGTGCGGAGCAGGCCCTGCAGGGGTGTAAAGACTGAAGAGGGATGGGCCTCCTTTCATCCCCATGGACCGCTTCCTGTGGGTCCATCAGTCAGCGAGTCCTTCCAACGTGGGAGGAAATAGAGCAACGACTTGATTTTAGGGTTCCTTTCTGGTGTAACCCCCACATCTGTGTGAAACCTACCAACAAGTAACATCTAGTTCATGCAGACACACTGCAATTTTAATGCCAATAACAAGAGAAGGAGCTGCACACGGCCAATGCCATTGGTAGGTGGGTGACAGGGGCCGTCACAGGGGCACGTGCAATTCTGGGTGCTAGGAAGGCAGCGGCCACCAAGACAGGCCCTGCTTAAAGTTTAGAGGGACAGACAGACATAAACACAAGGGAGCACAATGAGCATTTTATACTGAATCAAAACAGGGAGACAGTGTGGGGACCACTTGAGATCAGCTGCTCAAGGGAGGCTTCCCAAAGGCAACGTTTGAGCCAGGACCCAACTCGCTGGAGGTGGAGCTCAACTGAGTCCTGGGAGGAGATGGGCTGGGGATTCGGGCAGGACCGACCCCAGCACAGTGGCCACCACAAACGGCAGGGGACACGCGAGGGGAGCTGCAGGCGGCGGCCTGATGACTTTCACTTAGGTGGGACACTCTGGGGACATGCGCAGGCAAGTGTGCTCCTGGTGGAGGCGTGTAGAGTCCTGCGCCTGGCCTTTCGAACTGTCTCGGGGCACCCCAGCCAACGGCCCCGTGGCTGCCCCGCCGGGCCCCGAGGAGAGGAGTTCTGCACTCGCTCGGCTGTGCTCTCCGGTGCTCAGGGCTACCCTTCCCGTAGGTGGTTTCACTCTCATCTCACAAATGAGAATATTAAGCGACTTGCCCAAGGGTGTTCAGCACAGGGAACCAGCCCTTCTAGAACACTGCTGCCATATAGTGACTCAAATTAGTAACAAAGGGCTCCTGGGTGGTGATTCAACCACCAGTGGAGCTGAGCAGGGGGGTACTTGTCGAAGGAGAAATTGCAGAGGCACTTTCCAAAGAGTCTTGGTACCTTAAAAGTAAACGGTTTGTTTCAAATACAGATGCATCTCCTTTTATTGTGTTTTGCAAACACTCCATTTTTTTTTTTTTTTTTTGGTTACAAATGGAAGGTTTGTGGCAACTCTGCATTGAGCAAGTCTAAGGGCTCAGATGATGGTGAGCATTTTTTAGCAATACAGTATTTTTAAACTGAGGTATGTTCATTGCTTTTTTACACATAATACTAGTGCGCAGGCAAGAGACTCCAGTGTTTCTCCTGACAGTGAGCATCCTGAGGGATCGGGAGGTACAGAAGGGCAGGCTGGGCTGTCCAGGCACAACTGAGTAGCAAGCAGGAGACAGGAGACTGCTCCTTGCATTTTGATGGGAACACAGAATGCTCTCTGGATTTCAAAGGGACCAGCGAGGAAAAGTGCTGTTAGAGACGCTCAGGGCATCAGGTCACCATGAGCTTTGAGCGCAAAGTACGTGGCACAACTGACCCCCCAGCTCTCCAGCCATCCCGTGTCCTAAAGGCTGGACCACATTCCCGTTTGCAGTTATGACAGCCACAGGCACGGGAAACCAGTGAGGCCAAGGTGTGTCCAGTCAAGAACAAGGTCAGTGATGAGAGAGAAACGGGGGAGGGAGCAGAAATCAGAGCTCAGTAGCTGTTGTGTCACCAAGGTGGCTGAGGATCAGCAATGTCAACTGGGAAACCAGCCTCGAACTGGTGAAAGCATTAGGCCCAGAGGGATTTTCCTTGTCTTTCTCAACGTCCCCTTTTCAGTGTGCCAACTGGGGCGCTCCGTTTTGCTCAATACACATTTCCCAGTTATGCTCCTGCTTGAAATAACAATTTAAAAATCACTTCCATAAGAGTGGCTGCTGCTTTCTATGTGAGAGGGAGCTGGGCAGGGGTAGGCTCCTGTCACAGATGGAGGGGCTTAGATATCACAGCTCAGCCCTGGTGGCCCGCAGGCGGACGCCAGCCCCACACAGCTCTGCTCGACAGGCCGCAACTGCCTCTGCTCTTCTGCACGGTGCAAAACAAATTCCTCTCCTCAGCAGGGTGAGGTGAACACAAACAGGAAGACTTGAGTTAGTCCGGGGGCGGCAGTGCCCACTTTCCTTGTGCAGTAAACAGAAAGCACTCGGTTTACGTGTTCAAAGGCCTCCTGTCAGCCTCACTCCCCGGAGCTGTCTGTTTTTACTGCGCCGATCTTCGGT